TGGATGGATTTTGTTCAAATTTGGTACATACATTAAACATAATAGGACCTTGATGCACGTCTTTTTTTTTTTCGGATCAAGTTCGAAATGGCCGACTGGCGGCCATTTTGTTAAAGAATTCAGTTCTGGATCCGTATCCAAGACATGTCTGGATTGATCAAGTTCAAACTTCACACACACATGGTACATCATGTCACAAATAGATATGTGCATTTGTTTCATGATCTGCTTAACAATAGCGGAATGATGGCCATTTTAAGGCCGAAAATGCATCAAAAACACGTATTTTCACAATTCCAGAACCGGATCTCAGTCATGCATGGATGGATTTTGTTCAGATTTAGCACAATGTGTTGTACATATGCAGGTGCATTTCGGTCATGATCTGCTTTGAATGTATATGTCACTCAAATATGAACGGAACGGGGACGTGTCATTGACAATGACTTGTTAATATAGTGTTCTGGTGACATAATCAGGGTGTTGTTTTCTGAGTGTTCAGGTGTTGTTAATAATATAGTGTTCTGGTGACATAATCAGGGTGTTGTTTTCTGAGTGTTCAGGTGTTGTTAATATAGTGTTCTGGTGTCATAATCAGGGTGTTGTTTTCTGAGTGTTCAGGTGTTGTTAATAATATAGTGTTCTGGTGACATAATCAGGGTGTTGTTTTCTGAGTGTTCAGGTGTTGTTAATATAGTGTTCTGGTGTCATAATCAGGGTGTTGTTTTCTGAGTGTTCAGGTGTTGTTAATATAGTGTTCTGGTGACATAATCAGGGTGTTTTTTTCTGAGTGTTCAGGTGTTGTTAATATAGTGTTCTGGTGTCATAATCAGGGTGTTGTTTTCTGAGTGTTCAGGTGTCGTTATCAAGGTGTTCAGGTATTGTAATTTGATTGCTCAGGTTCCTTATCCGAGTGTTCATTTGTCATAAACAAAGTGATCAGGTGAAGTTATTAGAAAGTTCAGATGTAATAGTCAGTGTTAAGTGTTGCTTTCTGAATGTTTTAGTGAAAATTTTTCAACATGTTTTATATTTCAATAAATTCATGACTTTACAAAATGGTACGGTCTGTCCATGTAATTTGGAATAGTATTCTGAATGTTTTAGTGAAAATTTTTCAACATGTTTTATATTTCAATAAATTCATGACTTTACAAAATGGTACGGTCTGTCCATGTAATTTGGAATAGTATTCTTAAATTCATTTAAACAGAAAGAGAACTAATTCGCTAATTTAAGATGTCGCTGATGACTTCATTATAAATTCAAAATGGCAACCAAACAACGTTTTTTTCTCCACACACACACTTTGTAAACAACACAGAAAACGTAATAATCTGGAGCACTTCCTTATTACACTTGACAGTTTTTCTTTGTTTTTATGGAGGTGATAACTGTGCATTTGTTTTGGCAGGTGACAGACAAGTATTGTGACAACAGGAAATCAACAAAGACAAGAGAGATTTGCTAAATCAACATTTCGCAATTACGTCATTTTACCACAATTCGCTAAAATAGTATGTCGCTTTTTCAACATGTTTTACAGTATATTATTGCCCTCACAGTAGTATACTGTGGAATTAATTTTCACTATTTTCGCTGAAGGAATGATTTAGTGAAAATAAAATCCAGCGAATATGCCTTTTTTCCTATATTTTACATTAAACTCATTCAAAAATCAGTGAAAATAAATTCCATACAAAACACCAAAAAAATCTATGGAGCGAAAATTAATTTCAGCTAAAATAAAGTATTTTACAGTATTTGAGCAGGTTTTCCATAAACAATACTCCGAATAAATATTAACCATGCATAAATAATAGTAAATTCAAAGCTTCTTGGTTTCAAATTTTCACGGGGTTTTGTTCTTTCACCTATAATATGCACATATATGTACTCACTGGGTTTTAATTTATTCGTTTCGCTCGATACAGCTGTATTCAAGTTTCTGTTTTCTTTTTTCACAGTGAACTACAAAATGAAATCAATCAAGAATTCGGCAAAAGCAAAATCCTTTCCAAGCAAAAGAAATTCAACCACAACTTCTGTATGCGATGCTTTTCTACTTTCTACTTCATCTTCAACCGACGAATCCAGTGTCGACAATGCAACTTTAATGTTTGCAAGGAGTGTTCAGAATTTGACGAAAAGACGAAGTTGTGGACGTGCACAACGTGTCTCAAACAAAAGTAAGTACAATTTTTGCCTGTTAGAATATTGTTCAAAATTTCTGGAAATGAACCCTAAATTTGGAGCCAACAGAACAAATTTGAGTCAATTTTCAGTTTTTAATCTCAAAATGTTTTCTTGTCCCAGTTTTCTGGAGGAACGTGCAGACTATAAACAGGACTATTTTGTGAATTTGTGATGAAAGAGGAAACTGGTGGCGAAAGTTAAGCCAAAAATTGCATTTGTTACATATTAGATCATTAAAATATGACATAATATTTAGACTTTGGACACACATGCCTATACCTCTCATTTTGTGTTTATGTGTGCACTTCAATCGCATGCTTTTCTAACCTGCTGTATGACATCCCAGATTGCAGTAGACATTGAAAGATGTTCGATCGCGTAAAATTACCGCAGTATTCAAAAATGTACACTTGAAAAGCAGACCAAGATGAATACTGACCAGTTGTTTCCCAGACTCTCACTCATCTACATTCCTACATTGTATTTGCCTCTGACTCATCTTTAGTTTATAAATCATTGTTAGGACCCTTATCAAATTCTGTTTATTTCCCTTAACATCATCCGCCTCACCTTGTGTTTCCTCGGGCCGGAGCTACATCACAGACGTTCCACGTTGCTAAGGCGTTCACCACTGTACCACGTATTTCTATGAGCTCTGTGCGCGCTGCTGTGGAACGCCAGTCGAAGAGCCGGTGAAAATAGCTAAAGTCAATAAAACTGATAAATAATAATAATAAATTACTTAGAAGTAATACTGAGCAACCGAATGTATATATGTTTCACATATAGGGGTAATCTTGTTACACTGTTCAGTAGAGTCTCAACAACTATCCCAAAGTATCGTTTTCTGGGAGTCTTTGATCTTTGTTTTCACTGTGATGGTTGCCAGGCGCTGAAAATGCCCGGATGTCTGCCCCTTGAGGATATGTAATTTTTGATAGTGTCACTCATGACATTCAGGTTTAAATTCACAAAAGTCACTCTATGTATTATATAAATTAGTAATGTAGTGTTTCTATTTAACTTCTGCAAAGGGTATTTTACCCTCAATTCTGATTTTGCATCCTAATGCTATGAATGAAAAGATGCAGAAAATCCCTCAATTTTGAAAATCACTTGGAATAAATGAGTAAATTTACACGTTTGTAAGTACATAATTTAACCTTCCTTGTTTCTGTGTACCTTCATTTTATAAAATGGAGATTATTTAAAGGAATGCAGCAAATTTCCATCTCCTACTGGTTTCTTTGTTCCAGAACACACTGCAACATTACATTACCCATAATGCAATACAAACATGCACTTGCAGTAATACATATACTACACTTTTCATGATTCGAAGTGAGTTTGAAAAAAAAAAATGACTATAGCAATGTTTTGAGATGCAGATCCTGACGCTGCTACATGTATTATAAGACGACCAAGAATTGATATTCTGTATTTGCTACTGCCCTAACGACTTAACGACCGTCTAGTGATGATGATTTCATGTTAAATGGGTTTAGTGTAGTAGACCATGAATGAGAAATGTAAGCGTGGCTGACAAATGACATTAACGGGATGGCATGGCATTTTAACAAGTTGACAGTGAACAAAACGAATCAGCCAAGGCATATGAATTGGTGTAAAGAGTATTGAATGTAAATTTCATGGTAGTACTTAATTTAAGCTATGAACTATGATATAATTTTTAAATTTGAATACTAATAAATAAATAAGAACTAGTATATACATGTACTAATGCATCATCAGTCAGGCTAGACTCCCCATGCCTTCAATGGGTGTATGGAGAGTCTGTATGTCTGTTGTGGATGAGTGCAATAGTTGTATACCAGTTAAATCATTTATTTTTTCTGGCATTTATTTCACTATTTTGAGCATATTCGCAGGTTTTTTTGAGATCCAAATTTGCGATGGAAACAATGAATACTATAATTGTTATTTTACACGTTCACATACATGTAGACAGGATAACTGATTCTATTTAATGAATTAGAGAAAGAAGAAAAGAGTAAAACCCAGTGAATAATTAATGAATTTATTATGGTGTCCTTTTACATGGTGATGATAAAACCTGTTCTTAATGCACACTAAAGAACATTTGTCTTCTTTTCAAAAAAGATGACTTCTCTCATTGTTTTTTGATCCAATTAACAAATTTATTATGAGGATATTGAAAAGTATGCACAAAGACAGTACAGCAGGAGTATCTACCCGACGGGCAGTGGAGGTCGATGCCACGGTATACTGCCTTTGTGCATACTTTGTAATAACCTTATTATTGTACATCTTTTCCTCTCAAGGATACATCATGGAAATCCAAAAAGTTTAGAACAGATTTAGCGAACTTCTTTGTGTGGAGTCCGGCCAAACCCCTGGGGGATGGGGGGTGCCATGTTTGTTTTTATTATTAAAGGGCGCTCATGCACACAATCCCTCCATTTGCATTTTCTAATATGGTAGGATGAAAATACCAAGTGCAATACCGTAACATTACAGCACGCTGTACAGTGTAACATATGGCGTTACAGTGACAGGTGTATAATAATAATAATAATTAAATTGGGGGATGTTTTTCTTCATACGTGTATACATATATTCATGAGTTAGCACTTTATACGTTCTTGCCAATACATCTTAAAATGAAGAAAATTTAAATCACATGAAGTTGAATCAGCTGCTCAGAGAAAGTGATATCTTGTAATAAATACGATCAATTGTGTGTGTATTCTATTTTTATATATTATGAATTATAGATATTTTAAGCTAACAGCATATCTGCCTGATTTATTTAGTTTCAGTTTGTCACATAGTGTCTCTGAAATCAAAGGCACACTTTATATGAATTAGTTGTGAAAAAATAATTTCATTCTCGACTATTATTTCTACATGTAACCTGTCTCAGTGGAGGAAAGATTCGGCCAACCTACCAACAAATATGCGATGCTTAATAAGATCCTAGAAACAATAAATTAGAATAGAATTTGAACTTATAACGTAACAGTAGATTGACCTGTTCCTATTTTTATACCCCCCCCCCCTTTCCCTACAACCACCCACCCACCTGTTGATGATTTTGAACACTCCCTTCATATCTGGTCACATTTGTCACTGGTGTTTTTTAAGTTGTCAGTACCATTAGAGTCAGTGTAGTAAATCATACCTGAGTTGATGCAGTGTCTCATGAATGAAAAATGAGTTTATCACACGTCCTTGTGCTTTCTGAACTTTGGATCTACTCCTAATGTTCTAATTTGTCTTAAATCTATAAAAATAACATTTATTCTCATTTTCTTTTTATTATATCTTAGAATTATCAAAGGGCAGTCATGTGAGTGGTTCTACAAGCAGATTAAAAGTCGGTTTAGGAGATTTGGAAGCGCTAAAGTCATCAGATCACTGTATAAAAGAAAACTTGAAGGCAAGTCTCAAACCATGTGCCTAAGGGAGGTGATCAAAATCAAACCAGTGGTTTCCGGCCAGGTATCTCTTGAGTTCCGCTGAGATCCAAGGAGTTCTGAGGAGCTAATTTGTTTTCTGCACAGCTCCCAGGAGCTCTGCGCTATATGCAAATTTATGCAAAAATATGCATGTGCTGGAAGTTCAGTGTGGTGCCTTATTTTCGACATCAGACTTTACTGATAGAAAACCTTTTGTCTTATTCCAGAAATTGCTGTAAAACTTTAAATAAACATAAGTAAAAAAATTCATAAACGCACATAGGTTTGTATGAATAATGTGTTTGCTTATTCACAGAACTATGTGTCCCAGTTAAATCTCAGTCAGAAATTCACAGGGAGACGAGGTAGCTCCTCAAACCTCCCAGGATACTGGGCTGGAAACTTTGATTTTGATCACCTTTCTAACTCAGATTCAATGTTTGCCTAATTTAAATTCACTGTTTGTCTAACGTTGAGTTACCCTGATGGCCAATTCTAATTCATCATCTACATAATTCACCATTTTCCTGAATTGATTCAGCTTGGTTCTGTCTATTTTTCATCATTTTGCCTTACTCTGTTTTTCATTCCCAGTACCTGTCACATTTGCCTAACTTTCAATCACTATATGCCTAACTTTTATTCACTATATGCCTAACTTTTATTCACTATATGCCTAACTTTTATTCACTATATGCCTAACTTTTATTCACTGTATGCCTAACATTTTAGCTCCGCTGTCGACTTTGTCGAGCGGAGCTTATCATACGAGTGATTGTCCGTCGTCCAGTGTCTGTCGTCCGTGTCAATGTTTTACATTTTCGACTTCTTCTTGAAAACTACAAGTCTGAATGCTTTGATACTTGGTGTATATGTACCTTGGGTAGACCTCTCTCAGATTTGTTCATTTCATGATCATATCTTCAATTCTCTAATTTTGGTGAATATTTTTGTCATTTTTGGTAAAAAGTGATATTTTCAACTTCTTGTTAAAAACTGCAAGTCCAATTGCTTTGATATTACATATATAGGTACTACATGTGGACCTCTCTCAGATTTGTTCATTTTGTAATGATATCTTTAATTCTCTAATTTTGATGAATATTTTTGTCATTTTTGGTAAAAAGTGATATTTTCTTCTTGTTAAAAACCACAATCATTTATGGTCAAAAATGATATTTTTGAATTCTTGTTAAAAACAGCAAGTCCCATTGCATTGATACTATGCATATTGTTCATTTTCTAATGATATCTTCTGTTCTTTAATCGAAATGTGCACTGCTAACAGCGGAGCTATCTCAGCCGAGAGGCTGCTTGTATTCACTTATGCCTAACTTTTACTCACTATACGCCTATGCCTAAATTTTACTCACTTATGCCTAACTTTTATTTTGCTATACCAGTACTCTGATTTGTGTCTGCCTAACTGTTACCACTATATGCCTAACTCTGATTCACCATAATGCCTAACTCTGATTCACCATAATGCCTAACTTTGATTCACTATATGCCTAACTTTGATTCACTATATGCCTAACTTTGATTCATTATATGCCTAACTTTGATTCACTTATGCCTAACTTTGATTCACTATATGCCTAACTTTGATTCACTTATGCCTAACTTTGATTCACTATATGCCTAACTTTGATTCACTTATGCCTAACTTTGATTCACTTATGCCTAACTTTGATTCACTTATGCCTAACTTTTATTTTGCTATACTCTGATTTGTGTCTGCCTAACTGTTACCACTATATGCCTAACTTTGATTCACTATATGTTTGTATATTGTTGTTTATGTGATGTGTCAGTACGCACTATATATTCATTGCAAACATCACATTTTCACTTTTGTCAAAACCGTGTCGTAACTAGAATATTTCTAGATTGGTTTATTCTTCCCTAGAAGAAATTGAGTCTATGATTCTTGAAAAAATAATCTTGTCAAAAGTGACAAAACAAAACATACAATCTAGGGAGATTGTTAAAGAAGAAAGTTGATATGTCATGCCATATAACTTTAATTTTGCAAGATAAATATGGGTTCCATTTTTTTGTTTAGTCATACCCATTCTAAATCCATCTTGTCAATGCTCCCTAGCTTGTCAGTTTTTATCTTATAACTAAAACTCATGACCCCCTAGTAGAATCAAAACTAAAACAGAAATTATGGTAGCAACCTACACATGATTAATAAAAATAAGAAAAGTAACCTGAATTTATTAATTGGTCCTGGCTAATGTGAAGATATTGGCTTTGAATCTCCAGCCTAATTTTCAAGGAATTGGTGGTTATATTTTAGTGAATTATGTACCAAGACAGATAGGGTACTTTTTGTTATCAAGCATTGATTCAAAAAATCCAGGTTAAAGGAAAAATGATGATTGTGCATTGTCACTTTCTCAAAAAATATGACTATATTTCTACCCTAAAGCAGTCTTGATAAGTCTTCTATGATCTGTAGTGGCATTGTACTATATGTGTCACTAGAGGGCAGTCTTTATCCAGGGATATTCAAAGTATTCTTGTTTTGTATTTCAACTTCAGAGGGCGCTATCCTGCTAAATTTTCAATGCCATGTACAACATGTGTGTTCCAATTATTAACAAATAAAAAATTACTTCCCTAGGAAGATTTTAACACCAAGTAGCATGAAAACCTCTATTATGCTCATTCAACTTGGTTCCAGTTGAATGGAATGTACGATGCATAATTTAAGAAATCACGATTCACGATTTTTAAGTTTTCAATTTTTTTATTTTGAATACTGTTAGTTAGATTATCTTAATTAAGGATGTGGTTAGTGATAAGGGGGTGAGTTAATAATAGGAATTAAAGGTAAATGATAAAAAAGTACTTATCAGTGTACTTTTTGAATCTGAGAGCATAGAAAAAGGTCAGAGGTCAGAGTATGTTTTTCGGCATTTGGAGATGTATTTTATTTTGCTTTGTAAACATAAAAAACTAAAATTTGTCAATGCAGTGTTTCTATAATTTTTATAAAGTGGTATAACATTTTTATAAATGATATTAGAAAGTAAGAAAGTGTTTTTTTTTTTCTGCATATTTCCGTGTTCTTATTGTAGAAGTGAATAAATTCCTGGATAAGACTGAAAGGCAATTATCTATAATACTTAAACAAAAGGGAGAGTGGTTTGCCTTGTACATACATTTTATGTACGTGACTTGAGGGTGAAAATGTGAATGTTAAGCACAAATTACTATCAATATATTTCTATAATTCTTTTGCTTTTTTCTCCATCTGATGCTATTTGTCGGTGTTTGTGAAGTGTTTTTTTTTGTAAAATGGATCTGTGTTTTAATTTCACAGCTGAAAGTGATCATAGTAATTCTGATTCAGGTTACGACCAGGCCAGTTCCAGTCCGTCTTCCTCCATGTACGGTAGCCATGGCACCCTGCTCAGTGAACAAGTACCAACCAAGGACAGTTCTACTAATACATCAGGTAAGGTATATGAGCCAACTCCAGGTAGGTCTTTTGAGTATTACCCATGGTTGACTTTTTATAAACTCAACCACCAACTTGTATGTTTCATTAATATTCCCCATGATGCAATTCACAAAATGGCCGACAGCGGCCATGCATATGGAGCACTTAAAATTAAAATGAATTTTAGGGTACCAGGTATATTACTCAAAATGAAATGGAGCAAAATTTATATGGCAATAAAATTATGTTGATGTTATCTTCATTGTTTTCCTGTGGTAATAATGACCTAATTTAATTATTAATGAATATGTAGTCAGAATATGAAGAATGTTAAAAATTACAAATTAATATTAGCATTGGGGTTTTCATGACAACTAGTCTAGGTGGGTATAACTTATTTGATAAGTAAAAAGATGACAAAATGCTATAAATGTTGATAAATGTTGAAAAGTTCTTGTCCTGCACTTAGAAAGACAAAAATAAATTTAACTTAATTTGCAGAATACCTTCGCATGTAAGTTTGGTTTTTAAACTAGAAAATTCAAAAAGTTATCTTCTATAAATCTGTCAAGAAATGGAGTGAAACTGCTCCCATAATGCACCTCATGCTTGATAAATAATTGACATTTTTTTTGTCAAATCAACAAATTATTCTGCATCGATTTATTATTTTTAACTTATTTATTTTTTCCCTCATTCATCAAAGCTGTTTCCCATTTTTTCTCATGTTTTATTAATTTTTTCTAATTTGCTGACATTTTCATGTACAACATTGCTAAAATAAAATGTTGATATGTTTTTTTTGTTTTTACATATTACTATACTTTACCGGTACATATCATCATTCATTTTGATAGAAATAATTTCTGTAGTGTTTATACATGTTTTTTTTTTTTGTTTATGTACTTTTTATATGCATTCATGTTAATTAATATTGCTTTTATTGTTTCTGCACTGTTTGTTTTTCATTGCATGGTTTGTTTTTGCAGATTCAGATTCAGATTCCGATCCTGAAATCCCTGGCCAAGGTTTTCACACTATTAGTCAAGAACTTGAAATGATGATGGCCCAATTACAAGAAAGTAAGTTAGGAAGGGAGGGGGAACTATGGCTGATAGTGTCCTAGATGGGGAGGGTGGGGTCACCTGACTTTTTTGTTATATCCTGTTAAAACATGTCAGTGTACTATAAGACATAAAATAAAAGTTAATAAGAAAAATAAGTTTGAAAAAAGATAACAAAAATACAATTTTTTTTTTGTAAAAACGTGTTTACAAGTAAACAGTTGTCTAAAGAAGCTGTAAAGCTTCAAAGAAAAAAACCAACAGAAATTGCTAGCTAACCTGTGGTGGCGCCCTTTTCCAGTGTTTTCAGCTGCAAAGATCTACAAAAAAACTTTTTAAATTATTTTTAATTATTAAACAACATTTTTTTTTGTTTAGTGTATCAATTGTAAATGATTTTTAATTTACATGTGTCTTTAATTGTTTCTTGTTCTGGCGATATTCTTCTAATGTTTTTAAACGAATTTGTTCATACCTTAAAATATAAAAAAAAAATGGTAGATTTATCAAAAATACATCACTTTGATGAATACTCGTTGAGAAAATGTCTCAAGATTTAGAGATAATCTCCTTTTCAAGTAAAAAGTACCTAATTGATCATAAGCCATCTTCACAATTTAATTTTTGAATATGTGTAATTTGTTGTCAGTTTTAATTACTAGTATTAGCCCAAAATTGAAAAAAATGGTGTCGCTGCAGTCTAAAGTAGGGAAAATGGCCATAATTTGAATTTTTGCACTGGTTTCTATATTATTTCTTGATATCTCAAATTTGTTTTCAGTGATATGAGATGAAAAAGTTATAAATAATAATTGATATGAATCCTAATATTGTTAAAACATTAACTAACATTTAATTTGGTACATTTCCCATATGATAATGGCAATAATTTACCATTATATAAAATAAAACGTTCTGTCCCATAATGCATTGCATATATGCATATGAACATGCACATTGGAGCAAAATTTGGATTCTGTGAAAACAGTTTTTCGAATTAATTTTATACCGTACTTGTCAATCATCCATCTCCGTGTAATAAATAAATCCACAATGTGAGCATGCTAAGTTTATTACCATTGCTTGATTGTATAATTATAATTTTACACTTCATCATCAGTTAACATGTCTCATTGTAAGTAAAACAAATTGAGCAAAAATACTGAAAAATTGCTTCAGCTTACAGAGGGGCTTTTGATCCAGCTGAGTTATATCGTGAATAATATACAAACTCATACAGATGTCAGATGGTATCATTTTTAATTCTGATAAATAAAACAAAACCTTATATAACGAAAAATAAACAATTGAGCAGTACAAACAGCAGCAGTGTGGAGTCCTCCTCATAGAGTTGAGCTACACAAGGCTATCTGTCCTTGGTTCCACTTGCACAGTGATTGGATGGAAGGGCATACATGTAATAATTGGTCATTACAGGAGTATCATAACAGCATGGCAAAATAGAATACTGTAAAATACTTTATTTTAACTGGAATTAATTTTTGCTGAAAAGACTTTTTGGGCGTTTTGTATGGAATTTATTTTTGCTGATTTTTGATAAGTTGAATGTATAATATAGGAAAAAAGGTATATTCACTAGATTTTATATTCACTGAATCATTTCTTCTGCGAAAATTAGGAAAATTAATTTCAAACGAAAATAAAGTATTTTACAGTACCTTATTTTTTTTAATTGAAGGCCATCTCCTCTAAAAGTGCATATAAACCCAAATTGCAATAATTTTGTTGTTCTGAATCATTAAAATATGACTTATTTTGACCATAGAAGTGCCACTGAAGAGTAATTACATTTAATAAATTTGTTAAAAAACAATAAATCTACAAAACCCATTTGATGGAACAATCTATCCTTTTATAAATAAATACATGTATGGATTCTTTGTCATACATTAACAATTGTATGCCACAAGGCATCTGTTGATTACTAGTTAATGAATGAACTGAAATTGTTTTTCTATTAAAAGTGCACTTATCCATAGAAATAGGTTTTTGTGATGTTATACATTCTAAACTGTCACATTATTGTGAATAAATCACCTCTAAAAAAATGCAATTGATAAAAAAAAAAAGTATACATAAACATAATGAGCTCTATAGATGTTAATCATAGCTACAACTTACGCAATTTGTTATTGCCTGTCATGGTGATGGTCAGCCGTTCTGTTATCATACTTGATTTTAAAGATTTTAACAATTTATTGCTTAATTGATTATTAAAAATGTTAATTCACTCGAATTAGTTCTACCATGATAGCGTGATGTCATAAAACTATACTATACTAATGAAATATGCATTTTTGAGCTTCACACTGAAACTGATAAAATAAAAACATTTGTCAAATTGGAATGATACATATATTGCGGTGGCACTGGTCACTTTTAATCCGTTGACCCTCGCATTCACAAAAAATAAACCTACATAATAAGATCTGTAGCAAATGGAAAATAACATCCATTTCTTTCAAAATTAACAATAAAATAATAAAACGTACAAAAAATATATAAACTGTTTTTTTAGAATGTAAAATATGAGATTTAAATATAAATCCAGATGTAAATGCTAAACCTAAGAGAGAAACTGAAAATTTTTCACATTTTGGTGAGACTCAATGATGTGTATCCTGTGATATGAAAGGCATTGCTAAAAGATTTCCCATAATTAATTTTAGAAATTGAAGGAAAATTATTAGTTAATATAAATGAAAATAATTTTGTGTCCTTTTTTGCACAAAAGTATGTAGCAATGGCTAGAGTGCATGTCCAGTGGAAGGAGCAAGTAAATTCTTTAGATATTTTACAATGTTTTTATTTTGTGAAGTTCTAACCAATAGTGTGCAACAGCTAATTTGAAAACCGCATACTGACCAATAACCTGGCTGCAGCTAATTTGAAGGCCGCATTCTGACCAATAGCCTGGCTGCAGCCAATTTCAAAACCACATACTGACCAATAGCCTGGCTGCAGCTAATTTGAAGGCAGCATTCTGACCAATAGCCTGGCTGCAGCTAATTTCAAAACCACGTACTGACCAATTGCCTGGCTGCAGCTAATTTGTAGGCCGCATTCTGACCAATAGCCTGGCTGCCAATTTCAGAATTCACATTCTGACCAATAGCCTGGCTGCAGCTAATTTGAAGGTCGCATTCTGACCAACAGCCTGGCTGCAGCTAATTTCAAAACCACGTACTGACCAATAGCCTGGCTGCAGCTAATTTCAGAATTCACATTCTGATCAATAGCCTGGCTGCAGCTAATTTGAAGGTCGCATTCTGACCAACAGCCTGGCTGCAGCTAATTTCAAAACCACGTACTGACCAATAGCCTGGCTGCAGCTAATTTGAAGGCCGCATTCTGACCAATAGCCTGGCTGCAGCTAATTTCAAAACCACGTACTGACCAATAGCCTGGCTGCAGCAAATTTGAAGGCCGCATTCTGACCAATAGCCTGGCTGCAGCTAATTTCAAAACCACGTACTGACCAATTGCCTGGCTGCAGCTAATTTGTAGGCCGCATTCTGACCAATAGCCTGGCTGCCAATTTCAGAATTCACATTCTGACCAATAGGTGCCAGCAACTCATCTCAAAACTCAAACAAGCTACATAATCCTGTTGCCAGCTTGAATAAATATTCAGTCAAAAAATTAGCTTTTAATATTTAAATTTATGTGAAAATTTACAGCGTTAAAAACATAAATGGATTGTGATATCAACATGTATGGCTGCTTCTGTATTTTGATATTTTCTTTTGATATCAGCTGATGATGTACTAATAGCGATTGAGAAGACCTCTATTGGTGTGCAAGTACCTAAAGACGCAGTCCGTGAAGTTGAGGGCTTAGTTCTGGATGCGACTGATATATATGGAAGAAGCCACTCAAGGAGAAGGGTAAGTGAAAGTTAATTTCTAGAAAAGTATTCATAAGACACGATACAGCAGTTGTGTTTAAAAATAAAAATTCAAAAATCTTCCAGTAGACCTGACTAACCCATATTTTGGTACTGTCAAATACTTTATTTTAGCTGGAATTAATTTTCCCTGAAAGGACTATTTGAGTGTTTTGTATATGGAATTTATTTTCACTGATTTCTGAGTTGAATGTAAAATATAGGAAAAAAGCGAAAATAAGGAAAATTAATTCCAAGCAAAAATAAAGTATTTTACAGTAGTTGAATTAATTGTTTGCAGGATCATTAAAATATTACCTATTTTGACCATAGACACACTTCGGATATTTATATTAAAGCGGGGAAGTGGTCACCTGCGTATGCGTCAGATGGCCATAGCGTGTCACTGTTTACAAACACGTGTCCACCCATGAGCGTTTGCGTTTTTAGCGTGTGTTGTTATCGTCGCTTGGGACTCAATTCCAGTGTGTGCGCAGGGGACGACCCTCCCGCTTTAAGCGCATGTGCTACTAATAGAGCAAATAGTTGCATACATTCCACCAATGCTGTTATTTTTTCCTTTTCATTTCTGATTACATTTTCCCTTCAGTTCCTTTATTTAGACTACTTAGCATCTCGAATATACACATGCTCTGTATGCGTCACACATGCATTTGCACTTCAACCGAACACATAACGCAAGTCACAATCCCGATCCACCTTCTCATATGTAAATATCTACCATGATTTTACAATAATCCTTGGGAGCAGGGCTACGTCACAAGACGCTCCAAGATGCGCACCACTGTACCATGTATAAGAGCCAGTGAAAATAGTTAAATTCTTGAAAACAGCACAAACTCAACTTTAAAGTAATCCTAAACACCAAAATTTATATGTGTTGTACACGCAGGAGATATCTTGTTACACTGTTCAGGAGAGTCTCAACAATCATCCTAAAGTACCATTTTCTGAGAGTTTTCGGCCTTTGTTTTAACCGCGATGGTTGCCAGGCAGTGAAAATGCCCAGATCTCCGCCCCCCCGAGGATAGTAACACTGCCTTCCTAAATTCAGATTTTCACTGTCACTAACCACTGGAATGAACTCCCAAATTATATTAGAAATATGAATCTGAGACATAAATTTAAAAGCAAACATAAAACACACTTGTTCACAAAGTGATCTATTTTGTCAGTATCTTTAGCAACATTTCATCTTGAATTTTTTCGTCATTTTGCCTCATGAAAATGTATGTAGTCTATATATTCTTTTTTTTTATGCTTGACTTTGTTTTTGTTTATTTGTTTATTTTTTATTTACTCTACTCATATTTTATAATAAGATACTCTCAGTTATTAAATAAAATTATTTATTTATGTATTGCCACATTATCAGCTGTTAATTTTTGTTTGTTGGTCTGTTTGTTTCTTTGTTATGTATTGTTTATTTATTGTTTGAGAAAATTATTCCACACAATATTATTTTCATTACAATTATGGTTATTATTATTTTGTTTGCTATAATTATTTTTTATTTTAACAATAATTACTACACAACTATTGTATTAATATTATTTGAAATGTAGTTTAATTAACTCTTGATCTGGTGAATAAATAAATATCTAATATTTAAAAATAATTACCAAATTGACTATCGACACATTTTGATGGAAAAGGATCTTTATTATAGAATCTAACTTTATAATGATGTCATTTTTCACATCTGGGATATAATGACACAGTCGTCATTAGTTTATGTTGTAATACCAATTCATCATTAATAATTAATTTTATATGAGCTGTATATGTAGCGTAGAATGCTTATCGAACACAACACAGTGCTTCTACGATAAGAGTACACCTTATTGTGTAATTATAGATAAAAACTCTATTTATACCTTATACCCAGTATTTTTTCAGCCTGTTAACAGAAATATCAAATTGTTTTTTTTTTGCCCTGATTTAAATATACTACAAGCAGGTGATTACCCACACTACTGCTTATTACACAACGATTATTAATTGGAATGCTATTTTCGCATAATTAGAACAAAGGAATTAAAAAAATTATGAAATCAATTAATTTGCATATATTTCATTTTTGTCTGTTTAATTGGAAAGAGTTAAATTTATAATGTATTGAAAGGGGAAATTTTAACAAAATTCATTAATCTATAAATCTTTTCTGTATACTAGTAGGTTGAGGTTGATTTATAGGTAATGTGATACTCTTCTTTTGTTGTGACATACACTGTACCACAGTTATTTGCATAATTTACTTTTACATTGTATTCCTAGCTTCAGTTAAGTGGGGTTCCATTAATAAAATAAATCTTCACTGGTAATAAATAACTGCCAGTTTTCTAAAATCTTGTTTTTTCTCTCTCAATAACGTCTATTAACTATTTATTATTTTATAGTATTGAAAATAATATGAAAAAAGACTTTAAAAAAAAAAGGAATTGCATGTATTCTGCAAAGTGTACATGTTATCAAACTGCAGTTATTTTAAAAATTTATAAATCTGTCAATTTGACTAAATAATTTTTTTTGTTTAGTGTGTTATTCATAAAATTTCTTTTTTTTCTATTTTGACCTTTTTTTAACCTTTTTTTGTTGAATTTATCTGAGAAATAATTTATTTTTACAAATTATTATCTTTAAATTAAAAATAATTTATCTTGCATATCAAACTACACTTTCTAGAATCATTACATTAAGTATTCATCAACCCGGTGGATTTAAATTGCACCAGCCAGTAAGATGATGTCATCAATGGATGACTCATGGTGATTCAAATCCTGTGTCTAGCGCATAAATTAATTTCCATTCAGAACTACACACTCCGAGTCAGTCACTTCTCGTCTGCTGTTATGCAGCTATTGTGGATAAATTCACTGCTTGCAACGAGCTGAGCATGGCACATGTATATTTCCAGCTGAGTTTCTCTCATGGAGGCTACGTTCCCATTCTTCGATGTTAGTAGTTTCTCTATTCCTTCACTTTATATTTTAATTCGCAATTGCAGTATTTTGTTTATTTTTTTTTTTGTTCTTTTGATACTTGGTAGCTTATTCTCAAAAGATAAATTACGCATGTATGTTTTTTAATCCTTTAAATGGATTTTTTGCATTATTTTCTTCACTGTCTTTACATAAATTTTCAAGTCATGCTAATTGTTCATAAATTGTGCCCAGTTCAGCAGCTAGTACATTGGGGTGGGGAAGTGGGAATTGGTTTTGTTCGAACCCTGAAAGCAGAATATACATGTTCAAGCCATTCTTAATTGTGATTTTTTTTTTTGTCATTATTATTTTCACTTGTGGACGAACAAATTATTTATACAAAAAGATATATCAAGTAAAATTTAACACTCGATATTCCCCTTTAAGGTCAAATAATCTGACTAGTGAATCAATTTTGTCAGATAAGTGAATTTTAGGATGATGTGTCATTAGTAGGAAAGTCTTGTGATCACAGAATTTATTTAGGAATCTTATTTTTAAAGTGATTTCAATTCAAAATGGCTGTCGGTATGAGATCTAACAATGTGGTGGAAATCCCAAAATGTTTGTTACCATGGAAACGTTCTTGAACAACCTCTATTTCTTTTTATTTGCATATTTTCATTAGCTTGATTTACCCAATATCTCCAATATTCCAATTTTACGTTATTATCGTTTTTTCATATTTTCCTATAATACCAAGCTAAATACACCCTAAGGACATGTTGTGTGACACTCACCTAGGCAGTCCTAATTTATTTGTCAGATTCTATCACTACATAATATATGCTGCTATTTAAAAATTATACTGTGGATGGCTGTAATTTATTTTCACAGATTAGTCATGAGTTGCAGGCAATCCTTGAGAAAATACTAATTTTATTATTTTTCTGTCTTCAGAGGAAAAAAATCAAGTGAAAATAACGCATCTTACAGTATTAAATTAACTTTTGAGTGGCATTACTAGTATTTTTCGTCACTAAAATTTTTGCGCCAACATATTGCATATTTTTTAAATTTTGAACCAAATGTTCATTATTAGCCATTAGATTATGAGGGGAAAAAAATCTGGCTTTGACAAAGCTATTTTTAATAGTTATTTAGGACTACGATTACCAAATATTATCTTCTATATATCATATGGCTTTGACAAACGTTTATTTTGACATTCAGTGTGTTTCAATAATATTAATTTTATGAGAAAAATGTCAAAATTATAGTTTTTTTCGTCTGAATTTGATGATTTTATAATTATAACATTTTGCAAAAGTTGATTTGACTCTTAATAGTAATCTGGTGAAATAGTTATAAACACATTCCTCTGACTCGCGACTTTCATGAAATCAAATCGATGTGGAATTGTAATTTATCATGACCTTCATTTCCTAGCAGGTACATTTGTTTATATTGAATGTAGAATTTTACTCAAGAGTAAAAATAATTATGTTATTCTTTTATTTTAACGTATGTGATGTAGGAAAACATGTATTCAAATGGATACAAACCTGTAAAGTGTCAAATAGAGGATTAAGCAAACATTTTATTCAAATTTTTCTGTAGTGAAGGATATGGCATTTTACACGACTTTTGAAAAATTGGAACTTCAAATCATAAAATCGAACTTCAATTTATTTGGATTCAACGATTTTTTTTTTGAGTTTAAGTACCTCTGAATCTTTTCTTATAGGGAAAGCATCATCGTCGTAGACCCTACCGAGGGGAAGTCGCAGGCATTGTGGGTAGCATCCCAAGCCCTATAGAAGAGCTAATCACACCACCGATAGAAGCCTTACCGAAAATAGATGATGCCGAAAACACAGCTGCCACGCAAACTAGTGAAGATAAATCAACAGTTCAAGAGAGTCCTAAGAAGGTGAGGTTCAGAGACGCACCAGTTTATGTCGAGCCAAGTTCACCAGAAGATGAGGCACATTTGTCACCTATTAAGGAAGACATTATCATGAACAGCACTTCTCCATCGACACTGAAAGCTACAGGATATACAGATGGAGATGATAGATTCCAACATGGTTTGAAAACCGGGAAAGAGTCTTGGCCGAAAACAACCGAGAGCGGTGAAGCGTGCATTCTTGATGATCATCCAGAAGCTTATGATCTCTCACCAGAAAGTCAAGAGTTTTTGATGGAAATGAACTTTAAAAACAAGACTAGAGGGTTAACAGAAGCGGACGGAAGTAGAAAATCTTCTCAACCAGAGGGAATGGATTTATGTCAAGCTGCTGCCTCCAAACTTGAAAATTCAAGATTAGATTCAATGTCATCTTCATATAGGTTAAAAGGTCAAAAGTCAGATTCAGTTGATACACATTGCAATTCAGATAGTAACCATAGCAACATTTCGACTCCTGCAACCCCTCCACCGAGCAAAGCCTCTGATTCTGAAGAAACACACTCTAATGGTATCTTCGATAATGAACTTGAGCTTGATCTAGAGCCAGACCTGGAGCATCTTTCAACAAGTATAAGCTCCGAAACTGTCAAAAGTGAAGGTTACTACACACCTGATATGAGATCACCTGAGTCTATGAGCAGAGAGGGTACAATGGAGTATGGTCTCAGCACCTACCAATCAAAACGTGAGTTCGAGAACCACTCATCTAGTGCTTCAGAGCACTCCACAGAAGACTCAAATATCGAGTACCTGACACCATTATCTGAGACCGAACCATTTGGGATATGCGAAATTGATGGCACACAAGACAATTTTTTAATGAGAGAACTTAATAAGAAGCTTGACTACTCTGAAACGTGCAAAGAAGACAAAGAAGAAGATGCAATTAAAAAAGTTGTACAAGAAGTTATAGAATCTTTAGTCAGTTATGTTGTTGCAGTGACAGACAATGTTTCCATGGAAACTGTTTCTGAGTCAAATGATGCTGGTCTGAATAAGATGTATGTTGGTTGTGGCAAAGAGTCTGTTGCATATTGCACTGCTGGATTAGAATCACTTCCTTCCTTTGGAGATTCGGCCATGTCGACTAATTTGAATGCTGAGCGTGATTTGGCTGAGGGTGGAAAAGAAATTCATATGGACCTGCCTGATGTTGTACGACATGAAATACCAAAAGAGTATATGCCTGAGGATATTGTGAGGCACCATCAGTTTCAGACGGAACAATGCGCGATTGTTGCTTATAATGATTATGTGCCTCAAGTTCAAGAGAAGTCGTTTGTCGGAAGCGGCCTTCCTGGTTCGCTCCCGCAAGTGCAAGGAATATCCCATGTTGATAGTGATACAGATAGTGATGTCAGTGATCATCATGAAATCTCATTGGAATCTACCCTTGACAATGTGCCTGTTATGCATTTGGATGTCCATGCTGGTCATTTAATTCATGGTGAGAGCAGCGATGGGGAGGATTTAACGACAGAAGATATGAGACCACCCTCATATGAAAGTGCTATCACGGGTCAGCATCTGAAAGATATTGATGAGCATCCCGAAATGGAATATAGTGAGAGATCAGGTGCTAGCGTTCCGGTGATTGAAATCTCGGAGCCACGTAGGTCTCCAGTAGATCCAGCTACCCTTTTTGAGCTACCAGATCTCAGCTTTCCACCAGATGACATCGATTCTTGCCATGCCAAATGTGACAATGAAAGTGACGGCAGCTCAATCAGTAGATCTCCAACTTTAGAAATGTTGGAACTTGAGAGCCGACTGACACCAGCAGATAATACCAAACCATGTGACATATCTTCAGAGTTAGTAAAACAGCTCAGTGATGGTGCTGCAGCATCAACCTCAAAATCAGAGAGGATAGAAAAAGAGCTACTTACAAATGGTCATGCAATTTCTGATGAGGCACTTCTATTTTCACCATCCGATGGTCCAATTGGAAGCCAGAATGCTTATGATGGTGTGAGTAATATGGCTGACTCATTTTCATTACTGCATTTTGATGCAGAATCAACAGCAACCGATTCGCATGAGGAAACTTCTCGATTATCTCAGTCTGAGAAGTGCATGTCACCTAGAATGAAAACTGCCAATGACGATATCAACTCTGCCAGCAGTCCTGTACTTTGTATTTTTCCAACTTTCTCTGAAGTTTGTAAGCGCAGCGCCGATGATGATACTGTTAGTATTCCTGGTGTTGATACTTATAAACAAACTGACAATGCAGTAGATGATGTGGGACGGGATAGTCATGTAGAAGAACATGTCATATTTTCTGGACTTGATCCTTTGCTTGCTCATCAAGAAGATTTTACTGAACATGTTAGTGACTCGGACTCTGTCAGATCCATTGCTTCATCGTCTGATGGTGAAGACCTATTTGATGACGATATATCTCACGAATTGAAAGACCATTTTTCAACTTCTGAAGATGATGATGATGACCTTGATGATGATGTCGATATCGAGCTTCAAAGTGTTGCCAGCGTATATGAAGAAGCCTTGAGTCGAGCAGCTGCAATGAGGGAACGTGAACGGACGCATCGTCCAACACCACCTCCATCGCCTAAACATTCACCGAAGAAAAAGGAATGCTTAGAGATTGCCAACTTGACGATGAAGGTATCTCTAAAGCAAGGAGAGGTACTTGAGTCAGCCGAACATGTCCTTGATTCCGCAAACCATGTAAGTGGCAGCATGTATGTCTAGCGTAATTATTGCACAATTGATCCATGCCTGTGAATATTTTAAGAATTTTAAAATGAGCGTATGAAAACAGTGTGATATGTTATGAAGATCTCGCATAAATTGAAGAACCCTCACGAATTGCAAGAAAAATTGAAATGTACATTTCTTGAAATCTTTATGCAAATTAGTGATTCCGAAAAAAAATGGTTAGTGTTCATCTCAAACCGTTTTGCTAGCGTTCTTTCATATTATGTGTATTTTCTGTTTTCAAATTTGGTGATGGTCTCATTCATTTTACACAATCGCACATTTCCGAGCATATTCTGCATTTTGTGAAATGCGAATTGACATTCACATGAAGATCTCGAAAGGTCTCTTGATCACATATCACCATAAATAGATCAAAGTTGCACACTCTAATTTTATTAAGTCTGTAAGCGTTGAGTAATGTTGAGTCACAGCTCATTATCTACAAGTATTACCATTTAAATTTTTCCCAATCTGATGACTGTTTGTCTGTTTTTTTATACTATCAGACTCTCATATGTGTGTTATGCTTAATTGAATCTATTCTCTTCTATTGTTCATCCATTCGTCAACTTTTCATATAAGTATGAAAATTGTAAATTATTAACTAATATATCTCTCTGAGTTGCATAGAATTTGCTGTAATTTATTTAGCTGTATTGTTTTAGTTCAGTTTAAACATAATATATTTTTTTTTTTCCATTCATTTCAAATTTCCATCTTCCATTATGTATTTGCTCTATTAGAAGCACATGCAAGATTATGACCAGTTAAAAAGTTTACATAATTAAATAAAACAAAATTGTACCTGATTGGCTATTCAAACTTAACAGTCAGACCAATCAGAGAGCAGCCTATTTTTTTGACAGGTTTTCTTGACCAATCAAATTCTGTCTTGTATATGAGCTTTGACTTAACTGCGAGTTTGATGTGAAAGGAAAGTTGTACTGAAACAAAATGTTCTATCTTGTGGCTCCCTTGCGTCAACACCTGGAAATGGTCTTTTCATGGAGCAAGAATGGTGATTATATCTTGTAATGTTTGAATTTGTATTGAAATGCACAGATGAGACAACTTCACAGTCAGGTGGAAGAACTAGAAGCATACATTACAAATCTTGAAAAAGAAGTGATTGGTCAGGACTCACTAGGTGACGGTTGCGCTAGCGATGCCGAAACTTCCCAGATGAAATACCGAGAGGTATGTATTAATAGCAATATGACGTCATTGAGAATTATTATGAAATACTATTTTAGCTGGAAAATTATTTTGAATGGAGTTTATTAGTCCTCGTTCAGACGCAGTCTGATTCAAGATGGCCGTATGGCGGCCATTTTTGTACTGAAAAATCATCTCTCGGCTGTTTACAGATGGATTTTGTTCAAACTTCTTTTCATTGTTTTTTGATGAGTTTAATGTTAAATATACAAAAAAGAATACCCAATGGACTACATTTTAACTGAACCATCCCTCAAAGTAAAAAGTTAAATCCAAGTACTTCACAGTAGATAATGTGATTAATCATTCATTAAGGCATTCAATTTTGACAACTGATAAGTAATAAACACTAGAATGCCTAGGCTATAGTTGTAGAATTGTTGTGCTGTTCAAGTAAGTTTGCAAGGACTTGTAGTTCAGATAGTACACTCTGCATCGGTTATTGCAGTCTCGTACTGACTGAGTGCAGACTTTGCAGTATTCTTGCTATAACATTATTATACATCTTTACCAGTAATGGACACAATTAAGTTGGAGTTAACATCTCAAAATGTCAGGGACAAACAGTTTACAAGATATGTTTCTGTGTAATCACTGATGAACTGATGTGATTATATTACTGCTGTGTGTTATATTGAATGAAAAATAAGACAATAACAAAATAATATTTGTAAAAAATATTAGTAATGTATTGAAATGTATCAACAGCAATTTCAACTCATTCACCTGTGTGAGTTCTTACTGACTAATTTCAGACTGGTCTCAAAGAATATCAAAAACCCTCAGTATCAATTCATTGAATCCTTGCTATGTGATTTATTCTCAGACTAGTGATGAAAGCGAAGTTGAATCCGACCAACAAATAAAAGAAGGTGCTAAGAAATCCCAGGTATACAATGATGTCCTTTGTTTTTATGGCTGTTTTATACTCAGTGAGGGTAGCCTCTTCTCCAGTGTTCCCTCTAAGACTTATTTTCGCTCAA